CTCGTCTAGAGAAGCCTTTGCCATGGTTTTAAAAAGAAACATTCTCTGTTTTCTAGGCATGTGTCATGAATGGCAGCTGAGCCAAGCAGCCCCTATGATTACGGCTGGGCGAGTCAGTCGAGGAAATAAAGCGATTGCTGACACCAGGCTTGAGAGCCAAGGCAGGCTGGGAGCCTCAGCCATGGTCTCGCATTCCTCTCTCCAAATCTGGCACCCCCGTATCACGCGCAAAGGTGCTGAGAGGCGGCCTTCGTTTTCTCTGGCTCAGATGCGTAAGAGCGCAATGTTGCAATGCTGGCGACCTATAGCTGGGAATAAGTCAAGGCGACCTGCTTTTTGCTGCTGTGTAAACAGGATCGGGGTGCACGTGGTCCAGCTTGGGCTGGGTCGTGCCTCAAATATTTAAAATCTAGCTTCCCACTGGTAACGTGGATTATCCTCACCTCAAGTGCTCAGAGGTTTTCCACGAAAATGAAAATAGTATATTAGCAGCTTAAAGGGTGCAGGGTGAAAGGAATACGCAGCTAGGTCAATTAGGATCGAAGCTGGTTTGGGGGAAACGCATGAAAACTCACTATTTCCTAAGAAACCACAGAATAGGTATAGGCTGGGTAGGAATTGTTGCTAACGTCGTGTATGCAACGCTTCCAAATCCAGGGGTGGCGGCAGCGCAGTGGAGGCAGAGCAAACGACTTTTCGGCTGCCAAGTTTTGCCCGCTTGTCAGGGAGTAAGTCCCACTGAATTCGCTGGGACTTCGGCGGCTTTTCTGGGATGCCCTCTCGGTTCCTTCCACGTCTTCGATGATCAAAGAGCTCGGGCGATAGTTGCAATCAGCTGAAAAAGCTATTAGACAAGTGATTGCAAAGTCCACCAACACCTACACAATGGAACATCCATGTACAGCCGCAGTATACCCGATTGGAGGTGGGCAATCGGGAGGGGTTCGTGCCCTTCCTGTGACCTTCGCGGCGCATCTGGAGGACTGCTGTTTGAACCCGAGTGCTGGAGGAGGTCTCCAATCCTACGCACGCTTCCCTCGGAGTAAGTCCCATTGAACCCCACTGGGAGTCTTGTTCCTGGGCGAATTGGCCACAGGGTTGGCCTGCAGGTGGACCTTCGGTCTGGTCCTGCGGTGGACAGTTCCACCTTTTCTTCATTTGACACTCTCATCTTTTCAGACTCACAATCCGGACTCAGGCAGTGGCTGAAGACTGGAACCATGATGATAGGTCCCTTTTGACTTTATTACAGATCCGACGCACGGGGGTGGGAGGGGGAGGGAGGGAGAGAGACAGAGAGAGAAACGGTTCGTGCTGGGCAGAGGCTGTCGATAGAACGGCAGGAGCCTTTTGGACTGGTGAAGCAGTCGGCCCCAAGTAACGCGCTTACTCTCGGCGTCTTTTGCACGGCTGGAGAGCGTCCAAGCTTTGCTGAGCTGGCCTTCCTCAGCCCGTTTCCCTCCTCCCGACCTGGGAAAGCGACCTTGGCTTGGAGACTAGACTGCAGAGGCCGATTTCCCCCACCCGGGCAAAGGCGGAGGCTTTGGTCACCCTTTCCCAGAGCTAGTCCCGTACTCTGCACCTGGACAACAGCGTAGCAGGAATAGTCCCGGGAAGGTTACTCGGCGAGCCACCTAGAAAACCTGGGTCCATCAAGACTTGGACTTTTGCCAGGTTGGGCAAGCCACCTGGGGAGCCTCGATCTCTTGAGATCCTCTGACTGCTGCACTTCCAAAGACGACTCGGTGAAGTCGCATCTGGGCTCCAGGTGATTTTTTAAATGTATTTTTGGTCGTTTGTTGTTGTAGTAAATTAACAAAAAGGAGGCATCGTGAAATTGGCCATCCTGAAAAGGAGCTTTGTTAGGGAACCGTGACATTTCAGGATCTTGGCCCAGAGGGAGAATGTTGTGCTCGCCTCCCAAGAGGCTGCGAGGAGCTCCCACATTCCTCCAACGCGACTCGGACCAATGAGGAGCGCCGCCCTGGCTCTGCTGGCGGAGATCCTAAACCGCTGGCTTGGGAACAAGCTCCAAGCTGATTTCAATGGAATTTATTTCCAAGTCCGTGTTGTTATTTCCGATCGGGGTGTTCCTGTTGCATATCCAAGACAGGAACACTTCATGCCCATTAGCTATCCCGTAACACGTTTTAAGCAGCCGTCCATGCTCGCAACTACTGGGTTTTTCTAGACGTCGCCAATGCGTGGCAAAGGGGCGGGATGCGGATTCCAATCCGCCTTAAGGGCTTTGGCTACGGAGCCCCACAGTGCTATTTACGCACAACAAATTAACACCCGAAATAAACCTCTGTGTTTGCAATCAACGTCTTCCAGGAATTAGATTTGTGCCTAGAAATTCTAGAAAATAAGGCAGTCGGACGCGCCACTAATATGCCCCCAAACACAAACAATTATTGCCAGTGGGATTTATATCTTACTAAAAAGTTTTCAAGGCCGAAGTACCCGGACTAACTGAAGTGATGCTGAACTCACTTACTTGGAAGTAAGATCTTTTCAAAGCAGCTGAGCTTACTTAAAAGTAAACCTGCGCATGGTTAGATATATGCCCACTGAAGTCGAGGGTAGAGACTCTTTTTAAATCCCTGGAGATTTAGCAGTTTAACTGTGCTATGGAAGAAATCGGGAAAAGTGGATCGCAGCGGCCTTTGCCGGTTTTGGCAACGGGATCATGCCCCTCTTTACTCGTTTGAGTTTAGGATCAAAACAAGGGCTATTCTGGCAAAGCAGACAGACAAATCCAGTTAGATGCGCCATATATAGCCATATATATATATATATACACCCGATGAACAAATCAATAAATGCGTCCAAATATATTTTATACCACCAACAAAATTTAATAACTTACAATTCATTGGAATTTAGTATTTCAGGAAGTACTTTTTCTCACCAAGCGAACTTGATCACGTTTCCTCAGAGACACCCCCCCCACTGGGTTCAATAAGCAAATGTATTTAAGGTTGCAGCCTAAATTATCCTCTCCGTATATTTCGCGACCACAGATTCATACACAACCCAGTTCAGTCAGTTTTGAACTCTAAACATCCAAATATTTCGGCTAAATCCATGAAAGTCCCGTTTGTTCCTCAGGCCTCCTTGCCCTTGTTCCCAAAATGTCCTTTGGGTTTGAAGAATCCTGTATTGTTTGAATAGCAGGGGTTTTTTGTTTGTTTTGTTGTTTAAATCTATTTGAATATTGTAATAAAAGGAGCAAGCTCTGTGGTGGAACCTAAACAAGCGGAGAAGGTGCTAACCCACCTGAAACTGGTGACACAGCCAACGTGCTGTTTAATTGTAGGAGCGTTTTTGTCATTGTTTGGACAAGTCGATCAAGTTCAACGGCAGATTGGCTGCTGACTTCCACGTCTAATTCGCTGGCTTATTTCGGGACCCGTTTGGAAAAGGAGCATTTAAAAATATCCACCCGTCTTCCTTGGTCAGGCTCAGTCCCTTCTCCGCGGATAATCGCAGGCTTACGTTCTAGTAAACCACCGGTAACGAGAAATGCGCTCTTTCCCCGGAGTTCGCCTTCAATGAAACAAGAAAAGAGGAGAGCTGTACCCGCGCATTTTCAGTTCCATAAATACTCGCGCCACCCTGGAAAGGCAAGGCAATAAAATCAGTTCCTTGTCTGTAAGGAATAAGTCGAGGGGAAGGAGATGCTAAGCAGGCAGGGCCAAAACTATAGTCAGAATGCTAACCAGGATGCTAACCTTGCTGCTCAAGAAAAGAGTCGTTGAAAGAGAAAAGGGAGGAGGGCGCCGGCTGGGAACGCATTTTAGGAAATTGACACCAAAGAGTGCCTGGGAAAGGCACCTTGTCAGTTTCATACAAAGCATAGCCACAGAACACCCTAACAGCTAGAAACTATAGTCTTTTCTTTAAAGCTGCAAGCTTGCAAGGAATTGCTCCTAAAGGCAGGAGAATGTTCTCAGCTAGCGAGGCTGCACGAATATGGAGGAGGGGCGCTTAACGGTTGACCCTAAAAAACCGGTATGATCCTCCCCATATGTTCTGCTCTGATCAAGAGGACTTGCCCTGGAAAGTACAGTTACCTTTTCAACTATATCTGGTGGTGGGAGGAAATTCGGTGCAATAATAATAATACTAATAATAATAATAATAATATCGAGAGCTACGTTGCTGATTAGACGATTCTCCCTGGGAAGCTCAGCTGTTGAGAAGAGGGCTCGTAGGGAGCATATGCTACAGAGAGAGGCAGTGACTTCCTTCTGACAACAACAACTTTTGCTCACCTGGAAAAGAGGTCCCTATGGGACGCAAGCCCCCTACGGTGCCCCCTAGGCTGCCCGGCTGCCTTGCCCTCCCTCTCTCCTCCTTGCTTCCTGTTCCGTTTCCCTCTCACGCGCAGTGCGGATCTTTCGCCCTTTCTTTCAAGCAACCTTTTCTCGAGCCCGTTTGTTGCCTGCAGGAGTCCTCCGCCTTCCCTTCTCCACTTGCCCCCCGCTCCCCCGGCGCGAGGGTCCTTTCTTTTCCCTCAGAGCATTAGCTCCGTCGATGGCCATCTCCAAGGGCGCCTAATCGTGGCGGACCTGCGAGCTGAAGGGCTGGCGATGCAGCGCAGCAGCTGCGCTTTTCAGCGCGCTCAGATCCGCGCCCCGAGCCCTCCGCCGGCCTCCGGAGCAGGGGAGGCCGTTTGCCCGGGAAGTCTCTCTCTCTCTCTCTCTCTCTCTCTCTCTCTCTCTCTGTCTCTCGGGGTTATCTCAGGGGACTGTCTCTCTCCCCTCGCGCACACGCTCCCCCTGGCCAAGAGCCGTCTTGCGATCGAGCCGACACCCTCTCGCAGCCGGTTCAGGGACGGCACCATCTCGCGAAACACAGCGAGACATCTGCAGCCCGGCCCATATAAAAAAAGAAAAAAAGCGCGCGGGGTTGGGTTGGGTTGGGTGGGGGTCTGGCTGGTTGCCTGTCGTAGCCGCGGGAATCCGTCCTGAAAAAAGAAGCTTTTCAGAGCGATCTCACCTCCAGCCTCCTCTTGGGAAAAGGAAGCGGCCCCGGCTCGCCTCTCTTTGCAAGAGATCTTCTGATCCCGCTTTGCGCATCTCCAGGCTGCGAGAAATGGACATCAGTGGCCTCCGCTTGCCTGCTGGGACCCTTTGGGGACATAGATGGAGCAAAGCCAGAGAAAAAATAAAATAAATGTGGGGTGGGGTTTTTTCGGAGGGTGGGGGGCAAGCAGCTTAGGTCCCGGGCTGATCCGTCCACCCCAATACAGCCAGAGGATATTTTCCCCCTTTCCTTCGTAGCTCCCCCTCTCCCTGGTGTAGAGGATCTTGTTTCTGCGCTGCAAAGTCTCCCTCCCCGGCTGTACACCCGCGCGGCCCGATCTTATCAAGAGCCGAGGCCTATAAATCAGGGGAGCTCGTCTGGCGATGGTGGGGGCGCTTTCCAGCATCAGATCCAGGGCGAAGCACAAACTGGGAACGATAGGGCGGGGTGGGGGCTCAAACACGCGCGCACACGCGCGCAAGAGGGCGGAAAGGGGCGACCAGCCAAGTGAAACTGACCAGAGGGAGCCTTGTATCCGTTCTGTTTTTGACTGGGGGACGCGAAAGGGAAATCCCATCCGGGAAGCAGAGCGCGCAGAGCGCAGGCCGTGGAGAGCCGAAGAAGAGCCCCGAGGCCGCCCCTGGGCCCAGGCAGGGGTATCCTTAGGAGGCCCCGTTTGAACCACGTCCTCTCGCTCGTCCCGGCGGTCCCGGGGAGCCTATCTTGTGTGGTGGCGCTGAAAGCTGCGGCTGAAGGCCGATCCTCTCTCTCTCCACCGCCCCCCGCCCTGCGCAATCCCCTTTCCTTTCTCCCCTGCAGTTTTTGCTAGCTGACTGCCTTGGCTTGTATTGGGAGAAGGGGCGCGCCGCGACTGCAGCAGACCCGCACGTGGCTTTCATTTAGGAGACACCGAGCAAGCCAGCAACTCGCCGCGCCGAGCGCGCTTTCTCTCGGATACCTTCTCCTAGCTCCCTGGCAAGGCGAGGCCGAGGGGCCCCAAGGATGGCCGAAGGGCCGGGGATCTTCAAGCCGGGAGAAAGAGGAGGAGGAGTTCAGCAAAGGCCGATTGGAGCTCCTGACTCGGCGTAAGATAAACGCCTCCAAAACAAAACAAAAAAACCACCCACACCATTATTTTGTGCGCCGTGTGTGGCTTTCTTGCTGCAGTCCCAACTGCTAGATCTCTTTCATATCTGATTCTTTTTTTTTCTTCCTTTCTCGATCAGGACTTTTCACAGTGGAAGAAGGCATTCTTCAACCTCACCTCTCCTAAACACGCCGACTTGGAATGAAGCCCGCCCCCCCCTTCTCCGGTTGCAATTATTTCTCTCCTGCACACGGAAGCAGCTAGCTTCTGGTCGTAAGACGGACTAGGTGTGTAGAAAGGGTTGGGCTTTGGGAAGTCAAGCGTTGCCAGCGGCTGGGATAAAGATATCGATCTGCACACCATTCAAAGTGGTGGAGTAAAATGGTGTGTGTGTTTGCGTGCGCTCTCTCTCTCTCTCTCTCTCTCTCTCTCTCTCTCTCTCACACACACACACACACACACACACACCACCACCCAATGAAAACCTCCGTCGGAGAATATCCAGTACGGACACTAGCAGGAGCCAACCGGCTAATGCGCAGGGCGCCTCGCATCTTGAGCCAATGGCAACGTTACCATGTGCTGGAATAGACCTCGAAATCCTGTAAGAATCTCCGGAAAATGGCAATTGTTTATAGTTTCATAAAAGACTGAAGAATTTATTTATTATTATTATTATTATTATTATTATTATTATTATTAAACACAACGCACGCAAACCTGTTCTACAATCCACCTCCTGCGCGAAATCCACTGCAGTGATGGATGCGAAAGGGGGCTATGAAGGAAGAATTATTTATAGGCTGATTGTGGCCATTTCTGCTGGTGGATCATAATGATCCCCTAACGTGGATCTCATTATATTGGTTTATATTGGTCATTTCATTAGAATGGTGTAACAAAAGCAAAGCAAAACACAAGCAAACCAGCCCTGAGGACTTTACAATATTGATCCCCCCCCCAATTTTAAGTGTATTGCCTTGGATTTCTATTCTCAGTCTCGTTTAGCCCAGGGGACACCCCGACCTAGGAAATCCCGCCCCCTTCTTTGAATTGTCTGTCACGTTGCTAGGCCCATTGAAATTAATAGGGCTTATTTAATGAACACAAGTAAGTTAGGTCCATTAATTTAAAGAAGTCTACTCCGAGTAAAAATCTTAGCTAAATATAATAATAATAATAATAATAATTTATACCCCGCCCATCTGGCTGAGAATCGCCCTTAGAATTAATGAAAATTCAAAGGGTCTTTTGTGAGTAAAACTTAGTTGAATACAAATGATGGTGATGGTTATATAAAGAAGAAGAAAGGTGTTAGATGAAGGCTAGGTTTTGAAACGACGAGCAAAATGATTGGCGATTTGTGCCTCAGGCAGGCCAGGGGCTCCACCCCCCCCAAGCAAAATCCTGATCGCCCGTGTATCCCTTCTGACGTCCACACAACAGCTGTTCCCAAAAACTTCGCCTATACATCTCGACCTCGTCGCAAAGTGCGAGGAAGCTTGTGATGGACGTAATCAGTAGTACCGACCCGCAGGCATTTCTGATACCCGCTTAAAACGAAGCAAACAAAATACAGTACTCCAGCAACTTCCAATGAGGAAAGCAGCCTCGGTTATTTATTTAACCCCAGTCCCTATGAAAGAGGGCGAGGGAGAAAGGCAGAGCTACATAGGAAGAGATCTCGGCAGGTCGAACCCATCGATTCTGCGTTGCAAGAAACGTTCATGATAGGAGTCGAGGCTACTAAGAAAGCGCGCAGGGAGACGAAGCGTCACAAGATTCCGACGATCATTCGACACGCAAAAGATCGCTGCTGGCAGATTAATTATTGACGGGGGGCGGGTTGGGTAGGGAAGGAATGGAGAAAAGGGAAGGGGGCAGCATTGGAATGTCGGCCCCCTCCTAGCAGACACTTCTGAAAAGAAAGAACAAGGGTTAATATTGGACAAGGTTGTTTTATAGATGAACGATTGTCAGAATTATGTGCATTTCCTAGCAATAAATAATAAAACACTTTGGAGACATTTTGTGTGTGTGGTGGGGGGCGGGGAGAATGAGCTTTCCTACTTGCTCATATCTTAAATCAATTGGTTAACCTTTAAGGTACCACAGGACTCTTCAATCTCCTGGCTGCAACGCACTAAAACAGCTAATAAGAATTAATAGTAATTAAAAAATCGGTATATACAGTGGTTGACAATTTGTAGCTCCCATATTTGCAGTTCCTTCTGAAAACCCTGATGCACACGCGTGCTTGAAATATATCATATCTCAACTTGAAACACACATGTGAGCCGATTTAAAAATATATATATTTAATATAAGAAAAATGCCTCCGCCTTTTGGTTGACGGAGCCCTGCTATATTATTAATAAAGAACAGTATTTAAATTTTGGGGGTGCTCCTCCCCCTCCTCCTCAAACTATCCGGATGAAACTCTTGCTTTCTATTGCTTACTTTGAAATATTCCCTTTGAAGCCAACGGGGCTCCTCTGGAGTCAGTGACTTGAGAACGCGTAGTAGCCTATTGCAGTCCTCAACGTGTTTCCTCGCGAGGAAGCAAACGCCAAGGATTCTTCTCCTGCAGGCTTACACGTAGGCCGGGTCCTAAAAACGTTTCCTCGGAAGTAGAGAATATATTGCAGCCTTGTATGGAAATCAGACCTGTTGAGGGGATCGCTGCCCCACAAGCAAACGCCTATCGGATTCGGAGTTGGAAATGCGGATGTAATGAGACCAAGGGCGACTTACTTCCGAGTTAAAGGCGCTTCGCTGCTTCGGGGATGGTGACTTTCCGACTTTATTTCTCCGCATCCTTGAAACCCGGGCTTTCCAGACGCTGTTGGCAATTATTACCCTTCTTCACCTTTCTCGCACCCAGCCAGGACCCCTTTCGGTTCTCTTGGCGATTCCCACACAGATCCCCCGCCCCAAAGTGTAACTCCCCGGAGCTGGCGCTGCAGTTTGGCAACGCGTCGCGGGAGCCCCCCCCTTTTCTTCCTCTTCGTTTACCGCGAAGTCCAGAGACCGCGGCGGGACACCCTCCCATCCCGCCTCCTCCGCCACGCTCCTCGTCTTCCCTGAGCTCCAGATCGCCGGCCCGTTTCCTGCTGCCCGTTCATACGGGCCGAAAGCAGACCAGAGTCCCTCCGGATCGCGGCGGCGTCGCGGGCGAGGGAGGGGGAGAAGGCAGGAAGAAGGCAGGGGGTGGGGGAAGACGCCTCTCGACTTGCAGAAGTCAAGGCGAAATGTGAGTTGGCTGCGGTTGGCCAGGGACTCTTCTCCGACCCCCCTCCCTCCATCATTCGCTTGTCTACCCATCCGCTGTGGGCCGCCGAGGTTGCGGCGGGGAGTGGAGAGCGAGGGGGCCAGAGACTGGGTGGAGCCAGCGGAGGCCGCAGTTTGGAAAGGTTGCGCAAGAAGCCCCCGCTGCGCTTCAAGATATAAAAGCGCCGTCGAGGCGCCTCCGCCGCAGCACCAGCGACTGCAAGAGCAGCAGCAGCAACAGCAGCAGCAGCGACGACGACTGGCCAGGCGCGACCGCGGCTCCGTCGAGGATTATGGAGTTCCTGAGCGACAAATTCGGCCTCAAGAGCCCCCCGGCGGCGGCGGGCAAAGGAGGCGACTTCTACCTGGCCTCCGGGGGCCCCCTCGAGCACGTAATGGAAGCGCTGGACGGCGGAGAGGCCTTCTACGGCAAAGGCGGAGGCAAATGCGTTGCCCAGGCCGCCTATAACCCGCACGCCAGGCTGGACAGGGCGTCCCCGGGCAGGGACGGCTCCGGTGAGTGAAGGGCTGGCCGCCACCGCGGCAGGCAGTCCGCCCGCACTGCGGCCCAGGATTTGGGGCGAGTGTGTGAGGTGCGGGGTGGGGAGAGGGTGTCCGAAAAGCTGTCCGGGATCCGCTGCTTGGAGCGGCTCTCCTCCGGAAAGGGGTGGCGTGGCCTTCTGTGTAAACGGGATCCGGGTAGGCGAAGCGAAGCGGGTTCCTTTGAGCGTCTGCATGCAGAATGTTTTTGGAAAAATTTTTTTGGGGGGCGTGGGCAGTTCTCTCCTCTCCAGCAAAGCTCCTCGCATACACACACGAACGCACAGCAGGCCGGACAAGATTGTGGCCCAATCCACTGCAGATTTGGAGTGTTCTTCTCGGGAGAACACCCCCCTCTTTTTCATCTCAGAAGAATCTGGGGCGCAAACGCGGTTTTCTAAAAGGTAATGGCGCCTTGGAGGCACCTCGAGCGGGGACGCTTCTCTCACTGTGGAGAAGCCTCGCCAAAGACGGTCGCCACCTTAGTTATAGAATTTAGATTAGTTTCTCCGCAATCCCAACAGCCCTGGCCAGCTAGAAACATCCCGATCCGAGGACTTGGAAGCCCGCAAAAACCGGATAGCTAAAACCGGTTTCCTTCGGGGAGGAGAGTGTTTTTAGACGGGCCGCTCATTAAATGATGAAAACGAGATAAAAGTTGACAATGTGAAGGTGATGCTCCTCTTCTGTTGCATTCTGATTTAACTTTAACTGACGCCCGTGCCTGTAATTCCTCCGTCGGAAGTTGCGGCAGCCGCCAAGATCCAACGTCAATTCATCCCACCAGCAGCCGGCTGGTTTGCAAAGAGGATTTTACCTTCCGACGGCCTCGGGCTTTTCTTCTTCCTCTTCTTCCCCTTTTAAAGTCCTCCTTCGGGTGTCACGCAGCTTGGAGGCGTTCAGCTGCCCTTGCTTTTCTAGTTGTTGTTGTTTTTTACTCGTGAGCTCTGAAGCTGCCTCCCGCAGGACCTCAGATCCGCTTCCCCGCTCACCCCTGTCTTTAGGGATCTGAGAAAGAAGGTAGCCCCCAAAGTCAGCATTTCAAAAAGAAAACACTCCCCCGACTCCTTTCCTTCTCCGTCTTTTCCCTGAAAGCCAAATCTGTGGAAGGATTTACAGCCGGAGTCTGGGAGGCGAAGGAGGGACCATAACGCAAAACAGAGAGAGGAACCGCGGAAGGACGCACATTTCGGTCTTGCCCTGCTATAGATTAAAATGGGCCTTTTAACTTTGCGCGTGTATGTGCTTATATATATATATATATAGAAAGAAAGAAAGAGAGAGGTTGTAAAGGCTTTTGGCTACTACTGTTATTACTCCTACTACTATTAATAGTACCCCGCCCTTTTATGTGGGTTGCCCCAGACACTCTGGGCGGCTTCCAAGATATTTAAAACACAATAAAACATTACACTACAATAATGCCTTTATCTATCTAGTGTGCGAATGCCCTTTACCCACGTATTATCTTGATCGTCTTCTAAATCCGTCTGTCATCTATGGGTTTTAAGCATATGTAATAACAAAAGTTGGCAACACAAACATAAACGGATAAATTAATAATCTCATCATATAGACTAAATTATAACGACAGGCAAAACGGCGGCGCGCAGTTTAATTACACAACAGAAGGAACAAGGAAGACATTTAACTGTCAGCAACAGAAAAGGTAACAGCCAGGTATCGCAGGGAGTCGCGAATAAGCCAAAATGATCCTTCGGGAGCGGCTAAAATGTCCCAAAGCGACGAGAGAGCTCTAATGAGTGTGTATGTTCATTATGAATGCTATTAGGTATATCAGAGCATTTTAGATCTTTATGCTATTACTGAGGAAATTGGAAGCCGAAATGTTTAACTGCCCGACTTACCCCCCCCCCATATTAATATACATATTTTCCCCTGATCGGTTGCATTCGTCCAGGATACGGAGTGTATTTGAATGCACCACCATTTTTCTGATCTTCTCTCACACTACAATATTCTGTCACATCCGAGCCACAATCCGGTTAAACCACAGTGCTCGAATCTGACTCCAGTGGTTTTAAATTCAAATATTATATCTGCTTTTGGGAGATCAGTCGCCCGCCCTCCCCATCTTTGTCCGCTGCTACTTTCTTTACTTTAGACTTTTCTTGACTGAAAACAAAAGAAACGAATAAACAAACAAAAACTACCACGGAAGGAGCAAGCAGGGGACTGCTTTCTCCCAAAATTCCGTCGGCCCATTTTACCCTTTCGCTTACTTTTCTACTCACCGGAAGTGCTGACTAAGTTTGCTGGAACATCTGGTCGTGTCTGTATAGTAACCCTCCAGTCTGCCAGCGCTCCAGAAAAACGAGAGTTCACAAACCAAAATGCCAATCCAAACCGTCTTAAAAAGCACACAAATGTTCAGATCGTTCTTGGTCAGTTTCCTCCTCTTCCTCACCGTCGGAAATGATGATGATAACAGTTCTACAAAATATGCAAGCCATTACAATTGGTAATACCATAGGATCATAGAATTGGAAGGAACCGGCCAGAATCATGTAGTCCAACCCCCTTTCAGTGCAGAAATATTTTGCCCAACTTGGGGGTCGAACCCACGACCCTGATATTAAGAGTCTCATGATCCACCGGTTGACCTATACCACTTGGTGTTAAAACCAAGGGACACGTCGAGTAAAAAGAAAAATCTCGTGTCTACTCGGAAGTAAATTTCGTGGACTTCAATGGGGCTTACTCGTCGGTAAGTGTGCCCGTTTAGTTGCTGCCGCGGGTCATGTCAGTGGCAATTATACTTCCGCCCCTTATTTATAGATGCCATTTATACTTCCGGCTTTTGATGAATTCACTTGCCTTTGGGCATCATCCGTATGCTTTCTTACACCTTCCTGATCGTTGCAAATAAACCCCACAGATTTCCATTAGCATTGGTTGGAATGGGGCTCGTTAAATGTTCCATGGGGAGGGGAAGAAGACTGTGCTGCGCGTGGTACATTAGGTAGCAAAATCTATAAAAACTGTCGCAAAACGCGCAACAACAAAAACCTGCTTTCAAACACCCAGTTTTTCATCTCGGAATGCAGCGCGACATTCTCTTCCTCCTTAACCTGCTCGCTGCCGTGCGTGCTTTCAAGCCGACAAACCAATGCGATGTGAAATGTTTATTGCAACCTCGTTGAGTTTAACGAGGTTGGAGATCTTTCCCATTATATATAGCGTATGTTAAAGCAAGGCGATTAAAAAAGGAAATTAAGCCAAACGATAAAAGAAGCCTGTCTGAAACTTTTTTTATGTCTTGTAAAGTGGGATGGATTTTCTTGCCAGCAAATGTTCCCCGGGCCAAAGATTTCACAGCAGAATTTTGATTCTGTTTGCTTTAACGTTAGACTCAACATTTGCCTGCCCTTTGCCGTGACTGTGAAATCTAAAAACGATCAGCTCTGTTTATAGTTCAATATTTGGAACAGTAATGAAGAATATAAAAATGAGGGAAGTATAAGGAAATTTTTGTAATTCCATGCATCAATCTGCCTAAAAATGTCTAAATAGTAACAAACAACACATTTATTATCCTGCTGCAAGAGGTCTGTAAATACGATTCTTATTCTGAATTATTGGAATGCTGCTTTGAACATTTTGGAATAGTAAACCTAAAATAAAAGAGAGAATCAATACTTCAGTAGGAAGCACAAGCACAGCACAAACTTATGTGGCAGAATATTCTTCTAGGTAAGTTTTTAGATCACAGCCTTAAGAATCAGGTTTTTTGACATCAAAATGCAATATTTTCCTTGGTGCTTATAATAATGGAATCTGTTTTTTTTAAAAAATAAAATAAAAAATACTCCCATTTTAATATTGTTTGACAGCAAGTTCACACAACTTCCAAAGGCAATTATTTTAAGTGTGTAGGACAAAAGTGGGAGAAAAGACCCACAAGATCCTTAGGCACAGAAAAAGTGAAATAATCCCTGGGGAATCTAACATTGCATGTTTGTGATAGGTTTGCCATAATTTGTATAGGTTTGGTTCTTATTTCAATTTGGGTCAATGCTGGAGGACAGTACTGAAGCATTTAACAGAAAGTAATACTAGTGGTAGGGTGTAAATCGTTGCCGGTTAGCTGCCTTTAATTGGGTACCTTAATTCTATATTTTTAAGAACTTATTGCTGAGAAGACTTGACCTACTGTGAACTCCTGTTCTATTTTATAGCCCCAAACTACATTTACTCAGAAGTAGAGCCCTATTAAAGTCAATAGGAAATGTGTTTGCAGCCTTACGTGGGTGCTGGCTTCACTGATTTCAAAGGTGCTTACTTCTAAGTAAGTGTGCTGTTATGGGTCGCAGTCTGTGTCTGGTTAAAATTACAGAAAATGAACAGGAGGGTGTAAAGAAATTACAGGGAGTGGCAGAGAGCGTTAAAACAATCTTGAAAGGGCAGCTTGGGTGCCATCCTTTGTAATGTTTTACTGCCCTGAAGGACTGGAATTTCTCTACTCCCCACCTGTCAAAAGAAAGGGGGGGGGGAGTTGGAGATCATTCAAATCTTGTAACAGGCTGCATCAGTTATCTCAGAAATATTTAGCAAAAAAGGCTGGGAATTAGTTCAGAAGCTAAAGGGGGAAAATACTTTAATCCTTATCTTGGGCAGCAAGTGTTTTTTCAAAGATAAATGGTTCTTGTAGGACGAGTGCAAAAATATAGGAAATAATCTCTTTGACTGAGTTATGATTTTGAAGAGAACCCCCACCACTTTGTAAAAATACTCCTTAATTAAAAGCAAAGCCGCTATACAAAACCAAGAGCATTAAAAAAAAAAAAAAGTGGGGCGTTTTTATTTTTTTTTCACTCCCTTCATTATTCTTGATTCACAAGTGCGCTTCTTTTCCACATACCTTTCTTACACACTTCCCTCCCTTAACAATTTAAAGCTACTATAATGGCTTAAAAAATGAAATAGTTTGGAAATTCATCCAAACAAAGCACTTTATAGAAAGTTTTCATATTCTCTTGGGTCTCTGCATATTTAAGCAGATGGAATTCTCTTACTCCCAGGTAAGCATGCAAAGGGCTATTGCTGAAGTACTTGAGGGTGAAAGCTGAAATAGGTTTGGAAGGGACAGAAATGAACCTAAGCACACTTATAAGAACAGATGCATAGGACCGCAATGTGCCTTTGCAAGTCTATTTTGATCTGATGTTTAATACTACTACTACTAATGATAATAATAATAATAATAATAATAATAATAATAATAATAATGTATATGCTGCCCCAGCCACTCTGGGTGGCTTCCAACAAATTGAAACATTAAGCACAGTAAAACATCAAACATTAGAAACTTCCTTATACAGGGCTGCCTTCAGATGTTTTCTAAACGTTAGATAGTGGTTTATTTCCTTGACTTCTGATGGGAGGGCATTCCACAGTGCAGGCACGACTACTGAGAAGGCCCTCTGCCTGGTTCCCTGTAACTTCGCTTCTCGCAGTGAGGGAACCGCCAGAAGGCCCTCGGAGCTGGATGTCAGTGTCCAGGCTGAACCATGGGAGCGGAGACGCTCCTTCAGGTTTACAGTGTCTATTATTTGGTTTGCTTGCACTGCAAAATGCATAGTTGTGATTTGAAATATAGGCGTCTCAAAGCAAATTCTCTTTGAATCTCCATGGGACTGACTTCCAGGTAAATGTGGTAGCTGGCACTTTGCAAGAATGTATTCCAATAGCATGACTTAGACAGCAACCCTGTAGATCGGGGCTAGCCAATATGGTGGACTACAGTTGCCACCATCCCTGCCCATTCCCCAATCTGGCTGGCAGTGATGGGAGTTGTAGTTCAACAAGATCTGGAGGGCACCACACTTGGTGGGCACTTTCCCTGGGAGTAAGTCACATTGAACTCCAGTAGGCATGCTAAGGTTCAAGAAAGGCATGGCTAAAGGCAGTTCTTAATATAAGCAGTCTGTGATTCTGGCATGGACTCTTCCTCTTCAGCTGTAGCCATTTCAATAATAATTCCATCCCCACTTCCCCGCAAAATGCTTCCAAATTTAAAAACGAAAGGAACCCCAACCCAAGCTTGTTTTCCCTTTGCTGTACAGTGAACTATGGAATTACCAAAGTGGAAGGTCAGCCACTTCACACCGAGCTGGGGAGACCTCTGGACAACTGCAACAGCCTCCGCATGTCCCCCGCCAAAGGGATGCAGGAGAAAGGCGAGATGGACGAACTGGGAGATAAGTGCGACAGCAACGTTTCCAGCAGCAAAAAGAGGAGGCACCGGACCACATTTACCAGTTTGCAGCTGGAAGAGCTGGAGAAAGTGTTCCAGAAGACACACTACCCCGATGTTTATGTACGGGAGCAGCTGGCTCTGAGAACAGAACTCACCGAGGCCAGAGTTCAGGTAGGAGCTGCGGTTCCATCCAAAAACAAAGCCGCTCATTCTGGAGGCTAAAAAAGCTCATTAGGCTGAGCAAGAGCCTTGTCTGAATTATCCCTCAGACAGAGGAGGATGTTGTGTTTCGATCTGAGGCTGGGCCAGCTGACTGCGCGTCTATTTTGGTAGCTTTGCTACTCAACCAGTAAGGCATGTCAGCAGTCGTAATACTGAACAGATTGTTTCAAGGGCTTCACATCATTTCAAGTCCCACAGAGCTTTAGGTACCTGACTGGATGCCTCTTTCTATAGGTGCCGAGCTGGGTCTTAAGATCTTCCAAAGTGGCTTTTATCCTCTGAGTATGGTCTCCTTTTGAGGCATGAAATAGACAGAGAGGGGTCTTCTCAGTGGTGGCTCCCCATTTCTGTGGAATGCTCTCCACAAAGAGGCTAACCTTGCAGCAATATTAATGTCATTGTGGTATGAGATGAAGGTTTTCATATTCTCCTAGGCCTATTTAAAACAACAAGTAGTTTTTTTTAAAATCTAATATCGGCAATCTTACAGAATATTATATGTCAGTTCCTCTTCTGGTATTGGGGAAAGAGGCTTAGCAGTTCAGTGCATTGCCATCTGTTGAGTAATAGCCATTGTTTATTAAGTAATATTTGTAACTGTTACCTCGGCTTGTTTTTAATATTTTGTTGTGTGTCACCTAGAGGCCGAGGTATTAGGTGACAAATAAATTTGATAAGTCATAGCCATCAGCACTAGCAGCTGTTGTTTCAGCAACTCTCACAACAGTCCTGTAAGGTGGACCAGGGTCAACGGGCTGAGACTAAAGCACAACGGCTTGCTTAGTTAGGGACATCTACCAAATTTGTGGGTTTTGAACTGAGCCAGACTAGCCATATTTCACATATTCAGGGCTTTATTTTTGCATGATGCCAAAAGTGCCTTTGTGCCTTTGCTGCACTGTTTGCATTCTGGATGTGGGTGATGTTAATGAGGGAAAGAGAGCGGAAGAGAGGAACACATAGTTCATGCAATACATTAACATTATGGGCTCTGGAAATGCAAAAGCCAGTGTAAGCAATCACACATGACAAGGATTTGCATCTGCAGAATGGTTATACAGTGTTGCACAAGAACTATCCACAGTCTCTAAAGTGTTATAATTACAGTTTCTATGTCTCCGAACCATTCTGGACAGTGAGCTGACACTGCTGTGTGGCATTAGCAGTATTTTACTGCTAATTTACTTCTTCTTTGGCGATCACTCGTAGCTGAGTAAGATTGTCTTCCATAAACACGGTTTTAACAATGAGTCCGTAAGTGACTGTGGAGGCCAATTCTGGATCCACACGTCCTTCCACAGTGGGGACTTTGGTTTCCGGGTGGGAGTTGAGCATGGTGAGGGTTTGCCAAGCTTAGCACGTTTCTCCCTTTCATCATATCAGTATCAATGAGGTGTTTTAAAAAGGATGGAATCTTGTATCCTATGGTCTACTGCATTAACCTGACAGGCTTCTATGCTTTGTTGTTAATCCCCCATGCTTAATGAATAATGCCATGCTAATTGTTGGCTTAAATATCCTTGTACATCTTTGAATGTGAACACTGATGACTAATTAGGGCTGTTTAACACATTACCCCCACCCCCCTCATTTTATGCTCCACACATCTAAGCTATTTAAATGGTACACTTAAAAATGCAAATTATGAGCCATGTACATGCAACCATCCACACAGCTAGGACTGGCAGCCTGTGACCTGTGAAGCATATACGGTACTCAGTGGCCAAACCATTATGTAATGTATGAAAAGGCTTCACATTAGTTATAGCTATGCTTTTCAGTGTACGTTCTCGGAAGCAAATCCCACAGAAGTCAGCAGAGGCATGTTCAGAAGCTTGAAAACATAATACACACTGATGCTTAAAGGAGAAATGGGTGTGCAGTTTAGCATGGTTACATCACGGGGTCATAAACATAAAACAGTTCAAAGTAGAAGTTTTTTTAAAAATACATGCCGTCCAATAAACTCTTGCACCTACTGTGGGTGGAGACAAGATGGGAGAACATTCTTTGAATGGGAGAACATTCTTTGAATCAAAGAATGAGACGAAGTCAATAAAGAAACTGAAAATTCAGAGACCAAAATGTGTTCTGCAGTACATTACATTGATTCCAGTGGAACTTACTAAACATGCATGCTTTGGCTAACTTTTGTAACTTAAAAATAAAAGTATTGGTTTCCTACCCCCCCCCCAAAAAGATTAATCCATGGAAGTTTTTAGAAATAACTGCTGTCCATTTAAAGCAGTCTTCCTTGAACTGGCATCTTCTATATGTTTTGGATTCCAACCCTCAAATATCATTTCTAAAAAGTTGGAGTCCATAGCATCTAGCAGACACTGGGTTGGGGAAGGTCATTTTAAAAGCATTTGCATCTAGAAAAACATCCCGAATACCGTAGCTAAGACCACAAAGAGTCTTGTGGCACATTAAAGACTAACAGATTTATTATGGCATAAGCTTTCATGGACTATAGGTCATGTCACTTCATCCGATGTATGGAGTGTTATCCTGAGTTGCAGGTATGTATAAATACCATGGGGTTTTGCATGTGGGGGTGTTAGCCATGAGGTCAGAGGGAAATTGAATGCAGAGAAGTACAGACAGTGATAAATACCTAATTAGCAATAGTAATTCACAAAACAATTGTTGATGACACAGAGATCCTGGCATTGGTCAGCCAATTAACATGCATAACGTGCTAAAATCCTTTGTCTCAGTCCAGTCCTCAATCCCGAGGACTGTGTGGGTGTAAAAGATGCATGCAAAAACATGAAGGACGGAAATCTGGATTATGTCTTTTTACTGTTGCATATGTATGTATGTGGGTCTTTCTTTTCATTTTTTGATGGGGGAAGCACCACCCTTCCTCTAGGCTTTGGCTGTCTGGATCACTGCCTAGTACCTATTGGCCTGGGTCCAAAGAACTGCTTAGACTCAGGAAAGGGATTTGCTTGTTTCCCAGTGGAATTTTTGGCTTTTCTGTCAAACAGCTGACTCCCCCATGGCTATATCGCAAGCCACTCTTGAAACTTCTCTTAGTTTGCCATGTGCCAGGGGAGAATATAGCAAGTTTGAGGCTGCAGTTCTAGACCAACATACCTGGGAAGAAGCCCCTTTGAATTCATGGGCAAGGGCTGTAGTTCAGAGATGGAGCATCTGTCTTTGACCTAGAAGGTCCCAGTTTCAATCCCTGCTGTCTCCAGGAAGGGTGAGGAAAAGCTCTTGCTTGAAATCTTGTTGAGCAGCTGCCAGTCAGAGCAAGCAGTGCTGAGCCAGATGGACAAATGGTCTCTGACTTGGCATATGGCAACTCCCAATGTTCCGTATCATGTTCCTTTCAGGCATGGTGAGCTTTCACATTGCTGTTAACAGGGGCAAGGAGTGGGGGTTGTGCTGAGCAGTCTCACCTCCAACACCGTGCTGTTCAGCCTGCCCTTCCTCTGATGTCTACACTAACAGCACCAACATCTGTAGAGAGGGTGCCATGGAACCGGAATGCTTCCAGATTCCATTGAAAGCTTTGGGTGTACAGCTATGCACAAAACTCTTCACTGCAGACCTTTGTAAAGTAAGTGCCACCCAGTGGTGTAGCATGGGTTGCCAGCACCCAGAGCAAGTAATGTGTCTTCTAAGGCAAGTATTGCACCTGCTCAGGCTGGGGCACCACCCCTGCCATGAGTCTTGCCAGCCATCCTCTCTCAGCTCCTGCCTGGCATGCTGCTCAGGTTTGATGAGCAGGTGGGATGGCGAGCACCTCTTGTCAGGGCAGCAGCTGCAGAGGCACACCCCTAAAACTTTTTGCACCCGTGTTTCGCAATGTGGAGGCAACCAATGTCTAAAGGGAGCTTCCAAGTTGACATGGGTAGGATTGCACTGCAAAGCTTTCACAACCAGCTTCTCCGTTCTTTGGATCCTGCCCACTGAGCCGAATCATGTCCCATTGAACACCACAAGATAAAAATGGGAAAACAGTTTGCACATGCAGAAAATGCTGCAGATCGTGATAATTTGCAAACCAAATGAACCGTCAAATTCAGTGAAATATTTTTTCATTAGGAGGTAATAGATTTTTACAGTCTCCTCAATGGATGCCTGCCTTTAGGAGGTTTTGTACAGTGCTAAATCGGGAGAACAGCTACAGAAGCTGGATTTTTTTTTTAAAAAAAATCTGAACAGAATAACTGACAATGTGAGGTTTACTCTTCAGACTGAATACAATTTTGTAATTTGAAAAGGCCTTGCTAAGAAATAAAGGAGACAGATATTGAAGCATGAGGAACTGAACAAAGGTGTCTGTTTCTGAACTTTTCAGGGCACTGGCACTTATAAAAAGTCAGTTTGACAAGATATGCTCCTTCACTAGCAGATCTGCACACAACAAAACAAAACAAACAAACAAACAAACAAACAAACAAACAAAAGACATGGCTATTCTCAGAATTCTAAAATGACATCCCTCCAATTGCATTCCTTCCCCTTAAATCCAGAATGTTCAGCAACTCTTTAGACTCTGGATTCTCTTTGAATGTCTTGGTGCCAAAAAATAAACAAATTGGAGGTTATTTTTAAGTGTGTTTCGGAGAGTAAGTTCACAGAATCCAGATATCATGCTTTCAGATTACCTGCCCCCTTCATTTGTACCTTGATGTTGACATAATTGCAATTTCTGTCAACATCATTTTACACTCTTTGAGTAGAGTCAAGAGATCTGGCCGTAAGTGGGATGGAGCTTAGCTCAGATTTATCTTCTGGGTTGCAATAAGTTTGGGCTATCTCATGCCACATTGCTGTCCAAGATGGGTAAAGGTGCCAGATTCAGATCTGTCTAGTTTTGTGTGGAGCACGATAAAGAGAGCGTGGATTTACAGTCTGTATATATTATGTGCTCTCCTTGGAACAAAATTGCTGGTTTCAGTTTCCCCCCTTGAGAATGTTTATTTTATGCTTTGTGTACACAGAGATTTCCGTGCTTATTGAACTAAATGCCCTGGATTTTTGCATTTCTGATCAGCCTACTGAAAAAGGCCAATGCAAGAAACTGGGGATCTTTCTTCCTCCGAGTCTTCCATCACAATATTAAGCAATTTTCAAAGGCCTGACATCATTAGAGACCCGCATCTGGCTAGGCAGGGATAACAAGCAGCAGATTGTTGCCTTGTTTTGTATAGGCAAATGGTTACTTTATCTTTGCCAAGAGCCGGCTTTGAGTAAATCGATGTAAACAGAAACATTTTGGGGGAGTGTCAGCATTAAAAAATGTGGGTTTCTTCCCCGTCAGTTCCTTTAAATTCAAGCAAATTGTTTTATTTAGCTTAGCCAAATGACTGGCTGGATATGCTCCGTACGTCTCCCTTCCGCGGCATTTCATCAAGATCCAATTTAAGTTTCGTCCTGCATCCATGCCGAGAGAGTCAGCCTGAACCTAATTTATCAGACTTGTTCTCTTTCCTGCCGCATGTCAGTGGATTAATTGGCACCCAGCTTAAGGAGATTGTCAAGGACTTTTTCAATGAAAGGGCCTCATTACTAAATTCCCATAATATGTTCTCTCTGCCTCCTGCGGAGACAGCAAGGGGGGAGGGACTGGTTTCTTGTAGCCTTCGGCACAATAGATAATACAAATTTGCCCACAAGAGGTGCAATCCTGCAATTGGTTAAGGACTGGAATAGCCCCATTGACTTCAGTGGAATTTCTGCACGAATCGCTAAGGGCAGGATTGCACCGGCAGCCTAGGTTCATAAAAAGAAAAGAAATGCTTAACAGGTTTGAGCCGGGGTTGTGCTTTGATTGTTTTTTGGGGGGCATTTTTCAAAACTGACGCATTAAATTCGCAACGGGTCTATGGAAATTAAAAGGCCGTCCCTGCTGCTTTGGGCAATATTAGGAAGGGGCGGGTACATGTGTGTTTGGGTATCCTGAAGGGCTAAAAGCAATAAATAACCTCCACAAATGATTAACACTCAAATCAGTTTCAGAAACATTTCTGTTTAAAGTTCCTGCTCCGATATTAGATTTGAAATGCATTAAAGGCTTTAGTTCTTTCCTCGTTTGCTGATCTTTAAACATGAGCCAGGGGGAACAGCACTATTTTTGAGCTGAGTTTAACGCTGTGTAATTTGACCAGAAATGTTGTGGCACGGAGGAGAACAACCTCCCTGCCATTTGACACCACAATGCTATTTTGATATTTGTTTCAAGTTGCGTTTTGTTGTTGTTGAAAGAAACAGGATCCATTTATTTATTCAGAGGCTTTGAAATAGGGTGAGTGAGAGGAGGGAGTAGCTTTGGCAACAAATGCTATGGTAATAACGTGTAACTCACATGAACAACCTTTTGGCAATAATTTATATAAATATGTGACTAGTGATACGATTTAAAGTTTCAAGCACATTTGTCGCACTGTAATGACTTTCTCTGGGTGCAGGAGCTCTCTGTGTCTGTCTGTCTGTCTGTCTGTCTGTCTGTCTGTCTGTCTGGAGCTCCTCTGATCACAAATGCTTCCCCTTTCACTTCAACGGAGTGTAAGTATTCTTTGATATGTGTGGAGCTTCCTCTCTCCAGAAGTGAACAAGGGAAAGCACAAGTGCAGGAGCGCCACATCATTACTGTGGACTATTGTAACGTATTAGGCATGGTGCTGCCTTTGGAGATAGTTTGGAAACTTGTCATTCCTTTTAAGAAAGCACCACTCCACTCTTCTGTTTTTCATTTTCAATGGTCACTGTGCTCAGCATGCTTAGTCCTCCCTTCTAGGTTGCCCCCACTCAATCTTTTTTAAAGACTCAGGGCACTGCAAAGTGCCTTGCTGATGAGACGCTAGAGTTCCACCACCTTAATTCCCCATACACATATTTACATCAAAATTAGCATATGCAGATATTATGCCATGGACCTGTGGCCCAAGTTCTTTAAGTACCTAGGGACTTCCCTGATCCTGGTGGCACTTACTAGCTGAGTTCACTATTTGATGGAGTGAAAGCATCCTTTGTATGCATCAGAAGTGGGGAACCTGTGGCCCATTGCTGAACACCCATGATCCTTGACTGTTGTCCAGGCTGGCTGGAGCTGGAATACAACAACATCTGGATTCTTAACCCAACCAACATTACAGGTTCCTAATTCCTCCCCTACTTTATGAAATATGAGGAGCAGGAGCTTTCCCATCATTTACCGTTGTGGTAGCAAAATTAAGGATGTGTCTAATTTTTTAAAAGAGACCTACCTGGCTCCATCTTTGATTGTCTTTGGTGGACTATGAAATAATGTTTATTCCAGTATGCTACCCCCCCAATGTGTTATATGTGAAATGACATCATGCTGAGGGGTATAGTCACATTTTGTAAATGTTACTGCTATGACGATATTTTAATCTGTAACTTTATCCATTTTGTGTACCATTTCAAGCATTTTTCTTTTTTTTAAATGGACAACAATACCCGAAAACCAATAAATATAAAAAATATGTAAGTCACAGAAACCTAGACTAGAGAGATCACCATAAAGTATGCTTGGCCTTTAGATTGCTTGCTCTAAATTTTTTTAACTAGGTCATCCCCTTCCACCAATAACATTGTTTGGGAAGGCATTCAGTCAACTCTCCTGAAGGGATTTTGGAAGTAACCAAGGGATGCCCTTTTTAAAGTGTGGTGGTGACAGGTTAACCTGATCCATCATGAACATATGGGAGGGCTGGAACTCAGAACAGGGTGACTCAGAATATGAAATCTGAACGAAGCCAGGAGACAGTGGGCTGCCATCTCAGCATCTGCCAGAGCATTCAGATAACTGAGTCCTACACAAGACAGTAATCTGCTGCTGCTTTTACCAGATCAGTCACAGTCTCACAGTTCTCCTCTAGCCAAACACCACAAGACAATAAAAATAAGATGTTTGTTACATTAGGATTGAATAAGCTGTTTTATTCAGAGTTAGACGATTCATCCAGCCAATCATAGGAGCCAGCTCCTAGGGGCCAAGGCCCTTTTGGCCACCCCAATAAAATATTTGAGCCTCCCACCTAAGTTGATAGGCATTGCCATTCAAATGGTGTTTGTGTGCACCGTGTCTTGTGATTGAATGTGGGGCTTGCCCCCCCATATTTTATTCAGGTTGACACCCTTGCAGTAATTGGCACCAATTTATTGACCTCTTATTCTGTCTGGTGAGGGACGCGGGTGGCGCTGTGGGTAAAACCTCAGCGCCTAGGATTTGCCGATCGCATGGTCGGCGGTTCGAATCCCCGCGGCGGGGTGCGCTCCTGTCGTTTGGTCCCAGCGCCTGCCAACCTAGCAGTTCGAAAGCACCCCTGGGTGCAAGTAGATAAATAGGGACCGCTTACCAGCGGGAAGGTAAACAGCGTTCCGTGTGCTGCGCTGGCTCACCAGATGCAGCCTGTCACGCTGGCCACGTGACCCGGAAGTGTCTGCGGACAGCGCTGGCTTTCGGCCTATAGAGTGAGATGAGCGCACAACCCTAGAGTCTGTCAAGACTGGCCCGTACAGGCAGGGGTACCTTTACCTTTTTACCTATTCTGTCTGGTAGCAGATTCTATGTGTTTCCAGCACCAATGTTGTATAATTGACTTGGGCCATTAGGCAGTTTGAGACGGCCTCCTCAGGCAGCAGGAGCTAAGGGGCAGGCTGTGGAGGTTAGATGATGGAGGACAGAGCTGTGTGTGCCATGCGGCCAAAACAGCACCTCCTTAGCCAGCCTGCTGTCCTCAGTTGTGGCAGAGGGACATGGTACTGTCACTGGTGATAAGAATATAAGAATAGCCTGCTGGATTGGGCCAATGGCCCATCTAGTCCAGGACCCTGTTATTGCAGTGGCCAGCCAAATGCCTGCGGGAAACCAGTGAGCATAACACGAGTACAAGAGCACAGTCCCCTCCCATGGTTTTCAACAACAGGCATTCAGAAGCATTGCTACCTCTAACTGTGGAGGTAGGGCATAGTCATCATGGCCTGTTGCCATTGATATCCCTCTCCTTCATGAGTTTGTCTAATCCTATTTTAAAGATCTCCAAATTGGTGGCCATCACTGCCTCCTGGGGGAGTGTGTCCAATAGTTTGACTATGTGCTAAGTGCAGAAATCCTTTTGTTTATCTGTCCTAAATCTTGCAATGTTCAGCTTCATTGGATGCTCACAAATTCTAGAGCAGAGGTTGGATGGCCATCTGTCATGTATGATTTAGTTTAGATTCCTGCATTGCAGGGGGTTGGACACGGGTGGTGCTGTGGTCTAAACCACTGAGCCTCTTGGGCTTGCCAATCAGAAGGTTGGTGGTTCAAATCCCCGTGACGGGGTGAGCTCCCATTACTCTGTCCCAGCTCCTGCCAACCTAGCAGTTTGAAAGCACACCAGAGCAAGTAGATAAATAGGTACCGCTGTGGTGGGAAGGTAAATGGCATTTCCATGTGCTCTGCCTTCCATCACAATGTTTCATTGCACCAGGAGCGGTTTAGTCATGCTGGCCACATGACCTGGAAAGCTGTCTGTGGACAAACACCAGTGCCCTTGCCTTGAAAGCGAGATGAGTGCCCCAATCCCATAGTCACCTTTGACTGGACTTAACTGCCCAGGGGTCCTTTACCTTTTCCTTACTAGAAGACCCTCAGGGTCCCTTCTGACTCTACAATTCTAGGATTCTATTAATGGGAAAGAACCTTTTCTCTAGCCACGTTCTCCTTTCCGTGCATATTTTAAGAAACTTACATCATGTTGCCTCTTACTCACCTTTTCTCTAAACTTACTCTAAAAGTAAGTCTTGAAGTAAGATTCAGCTGCCAGCTGTGGAGGGGTATGTTATCTTGCCCTTTGCCTCAGGTCGTCCCCCTGAGTAGTCTAACCGTTGTTGTCTTCTCTGATGTAGGTCTGGTTCCAAAACCGAAGGGCAAAGTGGAGAAAGAGGGAACGGTATGGGCAAATCCAACAAGCCAAAAGTCATTTTGCTGCCACCTATGACATATCTGTTCTACCGAGGACTGATAGCTACCCACAGGTATTTAATATATCAAAGCTTTGGTTCTTTAACTGCAAGCTCTCTGTGTTGACACTTCTGAAATCAACTCATATTTTGGCCATCGTTGGCACCCAAGCCAGAGCCACATGGGGCACTTTGGCGTGTACCATGGGGTTCTTGCATGGAAATCTGTAACATCCACTGGGGAGAGAGAGTAAGCACAAGATGTACTTTTTAGTTTGAGAGGAACTCTGATCTTCCTTCCTGATCTGAGGCCAAGAAACAGCCCTACATGCACTAAAATGAATGGGACAGCCCCGCATGTCAGGGGAGCTGAGCTCCATGTGTTCATTGGAGTTTCTCCAGCTGTAAGGAGTTTCAGTGACTAGGATGATTGCTTCCTAATTTGTAGGTATGATTTAATTATAATATATATTAAGCGTTTTAATAGAATTTCTAGATGAGTACAAATTCTTGAAAGGCAACCAGATGGTAAATGTGTTACACTTATGATCAAACCATTGTACAATTTTGCTCTTTAGATTCAGTGCATTTGTTAACTATTAGAAGAAATCTAACCTCCTGTAGTATGATAAGACAGTATTTCTAGTTGGGGTTTTTTTTTTTTGGCAACTTATACTCTGCTTGACTAAGAATTCTATAAAAACAGTAATTGCAGCCAACCATCTGTTTTCTTTTTATTCCTTTCTGTGCCCGACCATTAATTGTATAATTTTATTTTCCTTAACACACATTTTTTATCCCCCCCCCTTTGTAAATGTCACAAGGCATTGTAATCAGAGCAGCTGAAGTGTTCACAAAGATAAACAAATAGCTGTTGGAATATTGTGGGAATGTATTCCTATTAAAAAAAGACAGTTTGGAGGAAATTCATTAAACTCTTTCCAAAGTCACAAAGTTGGATAGCTAGTAAAACGTCAGGCACTTGCTATTTGTCTGGCATTTGAACCATTTTTCTCTTTGGCCAATTTGGCCAATTCTTCAAGGTGATTTAGGCTCCCTCACAAGTCATAAAATTAACCAAAGGTTATCTACCTCTACCTCACACTAAAACAGAATTTAACTTTGCTGTAATCGTAAAGCTAATGTTAATTGTTTTTTAAAGTCTGAAATACACGAGATTTACTTCCAAGTAGAAGTATTTAGTCTGGGAACACCAGAGTTGGGAAAATGGCAGCACAATTGGTGGCAACTGGGTGGCACTTGCCAAACAGCAGGTGACTTTGTGATCTCAGTGTGAGCTTTGAAATTTAGCCTGCATCCTATGGCCCCTTACATATGTATATCCACCTTACTTCTGAGTAGGCATGTATAGAATTGCACAGTTAGCCTGATTTCCTGAAATTTCTAGGTATATGTGTATTCCCCCTGCCATATGCGTATACTAGATATGCCTGGGGGGGGGGAGTAGGAAAATTCCTACGGGCTCCACTGTCCCTAACATCTGGATGTTCAGTGTTAGTGTGAAAGAGACCTACATGTCTACAACTGTGTGTACGTAATCAGGACGTAATCCCTGCTGTATGCACACTAATGCTGAACACTGGGATAGAAGACCAGCATCTGCAATATCGCTCCCTCTGCCATCAGTGAACGTGTGGCAGAGCGAGAATGCATATGCATCAATTTTATATGTTATATAAATCACAGCCTGAATTAGCAGCAGCCAACATAGCAGATTGTCAGGGTGAGCCACTCTCCAAAAGCACCACCTTTAAGGAACCCAAGTGAACTTTAGGTTACATTTCTGCAACTGGGCAATGCACGGAATAGCTCCCCATGTATTTAAATGCAAAGTGGTTATTTGAGTGACCGGCCTGGGGCTATTCAACAGGCTCCAAGTCCAAGAACAGGGACAAAGAACCTGTGGTCCTTGAGAGATGATGTTGGACTACAACTCCCATCATTGCTGATCAGTGTCCTTGCTGGCTGAGGCTGATAGGAGCTGGGACTTGGGAATGTCACAACATCTGGAGGGTCTCAGGTTCCCCATTCATTCTGGGCATCTAGGCAGCCACTGGGATCCAGTTCATTTGTTCATTTGTTCATTCATTCATTCATTCATTCATTTATTCATTCACCATCTGTTGAGTACTCAGTAGGAAGAGCAGGTGCCCTGTAAACTAGGTCCCAAGGTTCTGGACACCTGGGACATTGCCACCAGCCTGTTCAGAGGTGTCCCAGGTGTAAGGAGTTGTGGGACAAATCATTTCCAGAACACTTGATCTTCCTACTGAACACTTGGACACTCAAAAACTACCGTATTTTTTGCACCATAACACTCACTTTTTTCCTCCTAGAAAGTAAGGGGAAATGTCTGTGCGTGTTACGGAGCGAATGCCTACGGATGGTGGGGGGGGGATCTGTTGCAGTCGTGAGCAGAGGATCCATGGTTCCCCTTCCTTCCCTCCTCCATGGCTCGCTTTGAAACAGCAAAGCGGGAGAAGAGCTGCTGAGTGGGGAGGAGAGAGGGACATAGAGCCTGCTTCTTTAAAGGAGCAAAGCAGGAGAGGAGAGGAGCCTTCTCCTCTTATACCCCTCTTCTGCATTATTAACAGCATCCTTCTCCACCCACCCCACACATGTTCCTTGTCCCTTGAGTGCTTTTCCTTCCCTCCCCACTTAAAATGTGGTTACAAAGCACGGATCCACATGGATCCTCAGGATTTTTGCACTGGGTCACCCCAAATTCACCATCAGATCACATAGCATGTCCATGGCTACAGCTTGCACCAAAAAAATCACGCACCCACTGTTGCCTGGGGCCGCAGTGGTGCAAAAACGTGGTTACAAAGCATGGATCCACATGGATCCTCAGGATTTTTGCATTGGGCTACCCCAAACTCACCATCAGATCGCATGTCTGTGGCCACAGCATGAACCACAAAAATCATACATCCACTGTTTCGTTTAGAATATTTTTTTTCTTGTTTTCCTCCTCTAAAAACTATGTGCGTGTTATGGTCGGGTGCGTGTTATAGAGCGAAAAATACGGTACATGTCCCATGATCTCTAGTATGTATGATACTGTTTTTCATGATAATGATAATCATAATAATCATCTAATTCAAAAAACAATTATTATAACATGCTTAACATTCTGAGTAGCTGTACAAAAAACAAAAACAGCTTATAGATGTCAAAACATGAGCTGCTTAAAGTTCTGGATCTCTTAGTCTCTCAGTTGCACTCTGTCTCTGTGTGTTTCCTTCTCTCTGTGTTGTTGGCATCCATCTCAAGACACACACACACACACACACACACACACACAATAATAGAGATTGAATGGGACCACAGAATTCAGAGTTGTTGCTGTGATTACTGTCAAGCATTTAAACATTTGTGATCACAGCGGATCTATTTAAATTAACGGGCCTAACTTAGTCATATTAGTTCATTTCAGTGAGTCTACTCAGAATAAATCTTAGTTGAATTTCACTTATTATTATCTCATTTTCTTTGGGTGGCTTACAAAACCAAAAAGATGTGCAAAAACAATCTCAGCACAAATAACACAGCATCAAAGAACACCAAAACCAGCATGAGTGAATAACGGTAATATAATAGCAAATGCAAAGCAATTTGTGCCCAGATCTAAGTACACTAAAAACATATAATTAAGGGCCCTGTGAGAATGCTCTTAAGTGAAGACGTTCAGGAACAATTTCTGTTATTTTATCTGTTTATGCCTGTGTGTCCATCCTTCCTCCAAGTAGCCAAGCAATAAGTCAGATGGAGAAAACAGCATGCCAATGGCAACCTGGTAAATGTTGTGGCATAGGAGAGAGTGGAATCCAGAGTTCCTCTCAGGAATGGCTGAAGGAACTGGAAGGGAGCCATAGCTCTATGGTAGAGCAACTGCTTTGCATGTAGAAAGTGCCAGATTCAATCCCCAGCATCTCCAGGTAGGGCTGGGAGAGACTCCTGTCTGAAACCCTGGAGAGCCACTGCCAGGCAATGTAGACAGTATGGAGCTGGATAGACCAGTGGTCAGAGGCAGTTTCCTGTGTTCTCAGGGAATCTTTGCTTGAGTCTAGGAAACATGGGTAGTTGCAGAGAATCAAAAGTGGGGGAGAAGAAGCTGAGTCCCAAATCCCTGAGTTTAGCAAGGGGTTGTGGCAGTGGGAGCTCCAGATCCATTTAGGCAGAGTTATCAGAATAGCACAGTCAACAGCAGCATATTTCACTTAGATCACCAAAGCCTGCAAAGTCAGTGGTTTGCTGATCCTCATCATGACATGCCTTTGTATTTAGCGTGTCTTTAGCTATTTCTGAAAAATATTTAGATCCTGCAGTGCCCTGGCCTAAATGGGATCTTCAAGGTGCCATTAGTCTAGCTCAGTATTGTCTGAAGGGACGCAGGTGGCACTGTGGTCTAAACCACTGAGCCTCTTGAGCTTGCCGATCAGAAGGTCAGCAGTTCAAATCCATGTGATAGGGTGAGCTCCCATTGCTTTGTCCCAGCTCCTGCCAATCTAGCAGTTTGAAAGCATACCAGCATGAGTAGATAAATAGGAACTGCTGTGATGGGAATGTAAATGGTGTTTTTGTGTCCTCTGGCACTCATCATGATGTTCTGTGCACCAGAAGCAGTTTGGTTATGCTGGCCACATGACCTGGAAAGCTTTCTGCAGACAAACAGTGGCTCCCTCACCTTGAAAGCGGAGATGAATGCTGCATCCCATAGTCAAATTCGACTGGCCTTAACCATCTAGGGGTCCTTTACCTTTTACCCAATACTGCCTACACTGCCTGGTAGTAGCTCTCCAGGATTTCAGGCAAATGTCTCATCCAACCCTACTTGGAGACCCCTGGGATTGAACCTGGACCTTCTGCTTGCAAGGAAGATGCTTACCGCTGTGCTATGGCCTTTCCCCGTTTCCTGGTATCCTGATCTTCCTAGGTCCTCAAGTATACATGCAGTCTCCATGGATGCTAAAGGTTCCCCACTTCCAAAGAAACTGGGAGGAATGCGCAACCTGGGATGTGATGCTAGATCCATTGTCCTGCAGCCCTGTTGCCCCAGCTGTCGGCTCTTCCTTCCAGTAAGCCTGAATAGGTCTTGTGTCACACACACGGATGTCACAGGGCATGAGTTTCTTAGTAGTGGATGCTGATAAGAACTCCATTTTGACTTGTCCAAAGAGTGGCAGAGTCCCATTGGGAAAATAGTGTTGAATTGCTGCAACCTCTCCAGCGTTTAGCTGCATGATGTGACTTCATGGTAAGGGTACTGAACTAAGTAGTGATGTGGTGGGGAGAGAACCATTTGTACTACCTTGAGCTATTTGGAGGAAAAGCTGGATGGAAAAAATAATAAGTAGATCTTAAAGAAAAATGCACTGAGGAAGGTAGGTGTCAGCAGCTGGAGGAACCTGGGCCAAATCTCCCTCACTGAGAGATACCATCTACTGACTCCAGAGGCAAAGGCGTTGTGATGAAATGGGCATTAGCAAGTGACTGGAGGAAGGCAGAAGTTGAGCTGGTGCTCTTACTCCTCACTCCTGTTCAAAGTGGCTAAAGTAAGAAGACGACATCTCTCCTGAAAAGGGCAAACGAAACAGAATAGCTGGCTTTGTGTCATCAGGCACTGGGGAACATGCTCATCTATATGCACTGGAGGAACGGCTGCAGCTCAGCAAAAGAGCACATGCTTTGAAGTAAAAGGAGTGAGGATCAGTGTCTCCAGGTATGGCAGGAAAAGGCTTCCGACTGAAGCCCTGGAGAGTAGCTTCCCATCAGTGTCAACAATATTGAGCTAGATGGTCTGACTTGGTAGAAGGCATTTTCTTGTATTTGATGTATTTAGCCAATGGCAAAGTTCCCAACAGTGGGGCAACTTTGGGGGCTCCTGATTCACAAAGCAAGGGTGTGAGGAACTATATAAATCTGCATGTGCTATTTGTTAAACCTTGCATCTTAATTCCACATAGGGGCCCTTTATGACCAGAGCACACATGGGGGACTTCCATTAGCAATAATCAGAGTTACATGCTCAAATTAAATACTCCATATGGTGCATATTACACACCACATGGCATTTGACTAAAATATGTTTTTGTTCTGCACGAAGCTGACAAATAACCACAGAGGCGCCCCATCCTTCTTGGAACCAACCATTCTGATTTGTGCTGACCACAGCCCTTTAGTCTGGGTAGGGTCATACAGTGAATATTTTGCACAGCACCAGTCCCCCAAGACTACTCATATTGCATAACACTTGACTCTGCAAGACACAAAGGCTACTACTGTCATTTTAACTTCCAAGTATGTACTGTATAATGTGCCTTTGCATCATCAACCCCCTTTGCAAGTTTTGTTAGGAGACTTGTCTATACACTGAGCATCTATCTATACACAGTCAGACCACTGGTCTATCTTGTTGCTCAGGGGTGGGGAACCTTCTGTTTGTGTGAGAAATATGACCTCCCAGGCGTCTCCATTTGGCCCATGAAGCCATTTTGGGCAAGTCACAGCCACTTGCTATACATCTGACATTATACATGATGGGTTTCAGAGGTTCAAAGAGCAATATAGGGCTCTTTGCAACAGGGCTTTCATACAGCCCTGTACTGTGTTTTGAAGTCCTGACAACCTGGGCATCAAATCCCAGTGCGGTCTGATATCATAGTGACATCAGGTGTTTGACAGGTGGTGGTAGGGAGATGAACATCTGGCTCATCTGCCAGAAAAGTTTTCCCACCCCATTGTAGTTCTTAAGACCCTACCAACCTCTCTGCCCCCCCATTGCTGCCTATCAGGGATTTCCCCCCTAATGTACCCAGCAGGAATTTTCTTCAGAACAGCCTCAGGGGAGGAAAGGGTTTAATTCCCCCCCCACTCCTGCTGTGATCCTGCTCATTATTAGTCCTGCCCCTCCAACAGCAGATGCTATTTGCATTTTTTTTAAAAAAGAAATGTGTGCGTTTAACATAAAGCCTGACTGGTCCTGATTCCTGGTCAGAAGAATGGCAGAATCCTCAGCCTGTGTCATACTGAAAGGACCTTTCAGGAGATACAGCATAACATGGATACATGGGAAAGGGTCATACATCTAACCTCTAACTTAAGAGACTCCTTTGGATGAGTGGGGCAGAGTCCAGGTGCTCAGGGGCACAGCTTTGTAAACAGTGGCAGAGCCAACAGAATCCAGATTCTGATGTTCGGCAAGCAGAAAGAAGGAAGTAGAAAGGCATGGCAGCCGATGGTTTAGGTGGCAAAAGCAGTCTGGCAAAGCAAATACATATAGCACACACATGTGCAGAATAACTGGAGGGTAGTTAAAATTTTGAACAAACAAACTAAAAATACATCGTATTTAAACAACTTTGATCATGTTGCTCCTAATTCACAGATAAGAAAACACTGAGGTACAGCAATTTGCAACCATCCTAAGTTCCAATAGTGAATCCACATTAGAGAATTCTTTAAAATAAGATATGCAGAATGTTTTCCCTTCACCACTGAGCAACTGCAGCCTCACCCTATGCTCCTCCTGCATTCTCTCCCCCCAACCCCTTTCTTGATGGGGTCTCTCCCTCCTCCAGTTGAAGCAGCCTGGGAGAAGCAGAGAGAACTAGGATCTGATTTATATTTAGCAATTAGGCTTTGGGAAGAAAAACCCAGAACAACAACAACAAAGAAGCAACCTACCATGCTAAGAACTGGAGTGGATATTCCTTCATTTATATAGATTTTCTGATCATCTCTCAATTGGTTATGGGTCCCTGTTTCAGTTTCCCCTGGTTGATTGATGCCCTGATTGCAACTCCAGCTATCCTGCATTGCTAAATTCTTCAGAGAGAAGGGATGTTCAACATCTTCAAAATCGCCACAGTCGTATCACCGTCAACATTTTCAGGAGGCTGCAGTAAAAGTGACATAAGCAGGAGAAGTTGGCAGTCAGAATACCATTGGGGGTTAAGTGTCTGCTTTGGAATGCATTTTGCACATATCATAGTTATACTCTGCTTGAAAGAGCTGTCCATCCATGTTTAAGGCACTTCAAGAAAAAAGGCAAAGAATGCTAACTATTTAAAAGAGGAGAAACTGAAAGCACTGCACCGTTCAAGGGCAGATCAGGACTGTGTACACATCATACGTTTAAAGCACATTAACCCCTTTCCCCGAATCCTGGGAACTGTAGTCTACCCATCACAGAGCTATGTTTCAGACTCCCTTTGGAAACTACAGTTTCAAGGTTTATTTGGGGAAGGAAATGTGCTTTAAATGTGTAGTGTGTACATAGCCACGGTTGAGTGTCTGCAGTGGTAACAACAAAAAGTGATTATTGTATCAGCGACATTTTTAAAGGGCCATAGCTGAACAATACTGTTAAATCTGCAGTGCTAAGAATGGAGATAAGCCTCTTTGATGTTAAAAGAGTAGCAGCTAAATTGGACTAGAGATAAGCTTTTTAAAGAGCAGAGAAAGGCTTTTTGTGCCTGCTGGCTTTTGAGGAATAGGCAGAAGTTTTTTTCCTGTGTTCCTACAGTGGTAAGGTAAGAGATATGGAAAATGTTACCTGCATAGGAAAATGCTAGGTACCACAGCGCAAAGAGAGAAAATAAACTCTGAAAATAAGTTGTCTGATCTTAGTACTGTGGTGCTTAGTGCTTAGACTGCAGCTAAGAGATCATTAGTGCTTAGATCAGAGATAACCAGGGCTTGGAAAGTTTGTTTTTAAAAGGCCCATCCTTTTACAAAAGAAATAGTTCATGTCCATCCAAATTTATAACTTTTTACAGTTCATAAAAAATTAGTACCGCCCTCCCCCCCTGCATTCTGAATGTTACAAAGCAATGTGCTGAAGTTCAGGGTTCAAAAGTAAATCTAAACCAAATACAAGTAAAAAGAAGTTTGACCGACAGAATGGCAACAGATGAAGCTTTCCCCATAATTGTATTTTCATACTAGAAAAGACTTATCCTGTTTAATTTCTGTCTGTCAGACAGCTGTTAAAAGCTTTGTTCCTGTACTTGTGCTTTTTGCTGCAAGCTGTTGGAAGTCAACTTTGTTCAGCTGAACTAATTCATTCCAAGGGCTGGAGATAACAGATCTCTGCACCTGACAGGCCAAATTCAGAAGCCTAACTAGTATAAGTTTGCTAGTCTTTGCCTATTTATATTGTCCACTAGCAAATATATCAATTAGCGCTAAAGAAATTGTAGTTTATTTAACCGTATAAGGCTGTGATCCTTATATCCACTTACCATATTTTTCGCTCTATAAGACCATAAGACGCACCTAGTTTTTGGAGGAGGAAAACAAGAAAAAAATATTCTGAATCCCAGAAGCCAGAACAGCAAGAGGGATCGCTGCGCAGTGAAAGCAGCGATCCCTCTTGCTGTTCTGGCTCCTGGGATAGTTGCGCAGCCTGCATTCGCTCCATAAGATGCACACACATTTCCCCTTACTTTTTAGGAGGGAAAAAGTGAGTCTTATAGAGCAAAAAATACGGTACCTGGAGTAAGCCCAGTTGAATTCAATGGGACTTGCTTCTGGGTTGGCATGTATAAGATTGCTCTGATCAAATGCATCTAAATAAATGTGCAAGTTACCACAACGTAGGTGGCCATCTGAAATACTGAAGGAGGTGATAATTTACTAGCTGTTAAGAAAAATGACCGCCTTGTCAAAAGAAAAAAACAAACCTTTAATATTTTCTGTTTCATTCTTGATATTGTAACACATAGGAGCCGAAACAGCTTCACAAATTAATATGTGCCCTCACAGATTAAAGTTACCTCTGTCTATTAATCAACTAAAATTGTAGTTGATTAATGTGTTTGCTAATCTGATTGAATTTTGCAGCGCTTCCACCCCACCCCCATCCCCACTGCCACTCACACACATGTACTATAGTAAGGAAAAATATTGAAGGGCTCTTTAGTGATTTCACAGTAACCACAAGAGCAAAACTCAAGATGTTTGTGATGTTAACAGAAACCAGAGATGAGATCTATGTATAGGCTTATTCAGAATCGCCTTGAATTGCCTTTTATATACTACACAGATCACAGGAAAAATATTTTCTTTAAATTCAAGTACTGTCTCCTTTCTGCCCTACATTCCAGGAGAGGCACTGATGTTTTCTACGTATTGTAAAACAGGGCTGTATTTATTTTTTAAATTCCAATATATATTTTACACTTAGGAATTTATTTAGTGAAACTTAACAGCATATATCTTGTTAAACAGTCAACCTGCTGCAAATCTTTACCTATCCACTTAAAATAAAGAATTGCTAATTTGAGGAACAGAGAATTAGGCTTTTAAGTAGTGCTGTGAAACAGACAGGATCACAACTTTTAAAGTTACATCACGTTCGCAAACCAAGCAACGAGAGTTCTGCTGGATACCCTTTTGTTATCAGATTGATGATTGCGTTTCCCTCAAGTAAAGAAAAGCTAAACAACCTATTTGCCAACTTTATAAATTTTCAGTTTTATTTGCTTGACATGACTTTTGTGGTTAAATTCTAGCATTTCAAGACAAATTAAAGGGATAGGAAGATGATGAAACACGGGAAAACATTTGCCTGGCTGAACTTAAAGCACACGTTGCTACAGGAACTTTTGGCTCTCTAAGGATTTAGTCCCCTTTTACTTTGGCATGAAAATAATTTGGTCCACTGATCCATTTTCTTTCCTTTTAATCCTCCCCTCACATGCTTCCAACATCTTCCCATTGTTCCTTGGCACTCCAAGTATCCCACTTGACAAAAACTTGGGATGCAACATTGCTGGAGGAATCGCGTCATATGAACCTAGGAAAGCTGCTTTCACACCACGTTGGGCCAATGGTCCAATTTGTTCAGTGCTGTCTACACTGACTGACATCCCCAGGCAGGGCTGGGAATGTTGTTGTTGTCCCCACCCCCACCCCAGTCTGAAATCCTTAGAGCCACTGCTGGTCAGGATGGGGGGAAAAATACCAGGTTAAATAATGCTAGATGGGCCTGTGGGCTGTTCATATGAGACTGCAAATATCCAACGTCAAAAGCTTTCTGAAACAGGATTTGTAGGCTCTGCACCTGTGCCTTGGAATCCCAATCATGCCAGAAGATTCAGATTTTGGTTATTCAAATTCCAGTGGTGATCTGTGGCTCTTGCCTTCTGTTCTGCTTAATTCACTATGTCATAGTTGCAATGCCCTACAGAGACCCCTCGGTTCAGCGCCCAGTGTGGTGGAGCTGGTCACACTGCCCTAATGCCCCCAAGGCCCCTATGAATGGGCAGTGGTATGTTTGCAGAGGCCATCTCACCTTTAGCTAAATATGTTGTGGGGGGGGCACTCCTCCTTTGTATGGGAGACTAGGAGGGCAGCCTTTCTCAACCTGTGGGTCCCCAGATGTTGTTGAACTACAACTCCCATCACCCCTAGCTAGCAAGGCCAGAGCTCAGGGATGATGGGAGTCGTAATCCAACAACATCTGGGGACCCACAGGTTGAGAACCGCTGTAAGGTGACCCTGGTTTGGAATTTTGTCCCCCCCCCACCCCAGACAATCTGCAAAAACAAAGGCTTGAGGGCATATTTGTCCTGCCACAACTGTAATGAATCTGCGTTGTTTTGCTTTTAGACAAAATGACTTGGCATTCCTCCCACCCCTCCGTCCCCATTCACTCTTTGGTCCAGGCCTGGGTCTGAGGCCAGATCAGAGAGATAAGCTGTCCTTTTGCAGCTCTGCTTGGACTTTTACAGCTTGCACCTCCACGCAGAGATCAGAATATAAGGTTGCAGCTGCACACATACCTAACTTTTTGAGCTAAGGAATGAGGCCCCTTTCATAGGCACATTCACTAGGAAAATAACGGGTAAGAACAGTTGCAAACATCCATCAGGAAAAAAATGGTAGAAGGCATTTAGCTCCTCATAAAGCAAAACTTTAACTTGGAGAAGATTTGACACAGCAGTAAAGCACACACTATTTCTCTTTCATATATCCTTTTTTAAAAAAAATAATGAGGATAGGCTCTTAAATTTTTCCTTTTACTTTCTATTAAAAGCAAATCAGATTGATGAAGTAAAATTCCCATGGACTCTCAGAATATATTTCACTTTACACTTGCTTTCTTTATGCGATGAAGCAGAAATCCTCCGCATTGGTTTCATAATTCCCACAAAATTACAGCTCATGGTGTTTTCAGTTTGGGGAGCATGCATGCACATTCTCCTCAGCCTAATTTTATTTAGAAAACAACCAGTTCAAGCCCTCACCCAGCCCTGAAGTCCATGGGGGGTCATCTTGGGCCAGTTACTATATCTCAGTCTAGCCTACTTTATAAGGTTGTTGTGAGATAAAGCAGGGTGGGTAGTGGGAATGCATGCATCTTTTGTTCATTTGAGGAAAGGTCAGATAGAAACATCATTAAGCAATAGTAACAGGAGTGGCACGTGGCCAGGTGCAAGACAGGATAGAAATGTGAAACTCGGGTTTTGGTTTGGGGATGAATTGGTTCCCTAGGAGCTGTGTCCGTAGGAGTGACTGGCATTCCAGGAAGCAGAGCATTTAGTCTAAACAGAATCACAGCACTAGTTCAATTGGGTGAGGAAAGCCCTCTAACTCAGCAGCATGAATATCATGCTCGAGAGCAACTTTGCAAAATTGTTTTATTTTTGTTCTGCATGTCAAAAAGCAGCAGCAGCAGAGAGGATACACGAGTAATTCTTGTGACATCTCTGCATGCTTACAGTGTCATGCACAATTTAGTCAATAAAGATGACTGGCAGAAGGTGCAGGACTGACATCTGTGTCCCACAATTTGACGTGATAGAGGTTTATAAAATGACAAATGGGGAGGAGAGCACAGACGGAACTTTTTCTCTCTCATAATTCTAGAACTCGGAGTCACCCAAAGAAGTTGACTGGCAGCAGGTTCAGGACAGACAGAAGGAGGTACTTCTTTGCACTGTGCATAAGTAGCTTGTGGAACTCACCATCACAAGATGTGTTGATGGTCACTAGGTTAGGCAGCTTTAAAAATTAAGGAAATCCATGGGGCCTACTTCTTACTGGTTGCTGTCTATAGTACCCCCACGAACCTCTGAATATCAGGTGCTGGGACTGATGCCCTGATGCAAAAGTCCAGAGGATCTGTTGGAGACTATTTGAAAAAACAAGATGCTCAGCTAGATGGCTCTTGATGGCTCTTTTAGGTGCAAAGGGCAGAATTATGCATCTCTTTCACACTGAAAGATGCACAATGAACTTCAACTTCCTGTACGTTTGGAACTGAAAGGGAACTGCAGGAACAGTTTGGGATGTTGGATGCAGGGGTCCTCTAATTCAGCTGACTTTTGAGCACACAGGGCTTATTCCTAGAAGACAATCTGATGCCCATAAATCAGCTTCCATGGACACATTGCTCTCACTGGAGCCAGGTGAAAAGTTGGTTGTCACACAGTCTTGTGATTACAACCGCAAAAACCATTTCCCTGGAAACCTATCCTGTTTTGATTTTGAACATTTTTGTACAGGCTGTGCAAGGTGCTCCTAAACAAGCAAACCTTTGGACCCCTGTTGGCACCAGGTTTGTCATTTCCACAGAAATAAATGTTCTACAGTTCCGTGAACGGCAGATGTGCCACCCGATTGCCCGAAAATGGACCAAATGAAGCAGAAAGCTATGTTAAGGAGGGGGGTGGCGGCGATTGTGCACATTTAATCTTCTTTGTTTCATATGTTCCAGATTCAGAATAATTTGTGGGCAGGAAATGCAGCGAGCGGTTCGGTGGTGACTTCCTGCATGCTTCCACGGGAGACCTCCTCTTGTATGACCCCTTACTCTCATTCACCTCGGACAGATTCTGGGTACTCGGGTTTTTCAAACCACCAGAGCCAATTCAGCCATGTTCCCCTCAACAATTTCTTCACTGACTCTTTACTTTCTGGAACCACCAATGGACATGCATTTGAAACCAAGCCGGAATTTGAACGGAGGTCTTCCAGTATTGCAGTTCTACGAATGAAAGCCAAAGAACATACCGCTAACATCTCCTGGGCCATGTAATGTAAGAGAATGTCCTTCTTTTTCAGAGTTCAGGCAAAAGGAAGAAGAAGAAAAACACCCACCCACCATCGTTTCTTATTTCCCATATTTAAAGGACCCAATCATAAGCTGCTGTGTGAAGAATTGCTACCGATCAGGAGATAGAAAGGAGCCCGCTTAAGCCAGATGCCTGATATGCTATTTAACAATCACATTTTTAAGCATAAACATGTAGGAGGACTCAAAATAGAACCACCATGTGCCAGTCTCCAGAAGCCCTCTTAAAAAATAGCCAAATATGTTGTACTGTACTGGTTGATGAAATATGATTGTAAAACCTGCAAAAAAGAATAAAAACCTATTAAAGAAGCACATCTGCTATACGTTGCTTGGTGTCAATGCTGTGTCAATGCAGAATTCCTTATTCACAGAATAGCAGGTAGTCTTTGGTGGAAAATGTAGGATGTGAAACACAAGAGCAGGCAAGTAGAACATTCCTAGAGTGAACATGTTTACACATGGGGAGGAATGTTTGTCCAGCCAGCAGGTAAACTTCCTGTTTCCTTCTGGGCTGGGACAGACTTCCTCTGCATGTGACTAGAGGTGGGTGTGGCCTCACCTGTGGAGGTAATGACAAAAGCACAGGGCAGGGCAGCCATCTCTCTCTCTTTCACCACATGCATCGAAGAAACAACATCGACTGAGCCAAAGATGCCCTCTTGACTTCCAGCCAAGAGAGGACAAAGGGACTGTCTTCTCATGAGATAGATTCCAAGTGTATGTTACTTCATTAAGCTAAGTCCGCCTTCTGGGATCTGATTGTGAACAGAATGTGAGTAAACTCCTTTTATACTTTTGTAAAAGACTGTATCATCTCTTATATTTTATGAGGGAATAAGGGGAAAATACCAGAACAGTTATTATAGAGGCTTTAGCGAGCCCGAGTAAACACATCCGTTGCAAAGTTTAAAATAAGGGGAATGTTACTCTGCTGAAATTGTGGAACTTGTTAACACAAGTTGGATAAGGATATAATCAGACAATATATCCTCTCCTGCATCCCTGAACATTCCCACAGAAAATGGGGGCAAGCTGTGTAGGGGGTCCAACCACTTTTGGGGTATATAGCGGGCGCCAGGGATAGATAGACTCCAGAAAAATCACCTTTCCTTTCATCCATGAGCAGGAGTGTTCTGTGAATCCCATGGGATCTCAGAATTCAACCCATAATTTATTAAGGAATGATACCTTTCTTATTTGCTTTGTACCTTCACCAGTATTAAAGATACCTCTATGAAGTTGTCCTTAACTATTGGGCATATTTCTTCGAGTGAAACCTATACATGTCTATCCAGAATGATGTCCCGCTATATTCAATCCTGTTTATGTCTCAGAAAAGTAGGTAACAGGATTGTGCAACCTTAGTCTGTGCCCCAAGGCAAAGGTGGAGGATTCAGCCAATTTCAACCTGAGCTGAGCTGGAAAATGTTTGGGGAAGTCTGAAGCCTATCTGCTGCAGTTAAAACCGAGTTACAATTTTAAACTGACAGCAGTACACATTGGTGTGTGTGTTTTGAGTTTCAGTGATCGCTGCAAGGACTCAAAGGAAAACTCCCACTGATTTTTTTCAGCAGGAGAGAGAGAGATGGAGAGCAAGAGAGAGAGAGAGAGAGAGAAACTTCTGTTTCTGGATGACATGTCAGTGCCTCTGAAAGATGAAGGAAGAATTAAAATGTCAGCAAACATTCTGAAATTTCTGATAGTAAAAAAAAAGAAAAAGAAAAAGAGAGTATGTGTGTGTTGGTGATGAAGGGAGGTGGGGAGGAGGAATGAAGAAAAATACTTTACATCTGGCAAATTGCTATCTGCTTTGATTTATTTCTCCTCCCTTTCCCCTGCCACATTCCAAGCTCCTTTGGATGAACGAAATGTTAGCCTCTTTGAAAGAAGCACTCACGCTCCCAAGTTCATAAAGGCAAACTCAAACTTAATTGAAATAAAGGAAGGCTTGAAACTGAGACTGAGTCGGACAAGATTCAGTCAGGCCTGCTCCTGCTGGCATTTTCCTCACAACCCCAAACTTGAGACAGGAAGTGAGAGAAGTTCATGTGCAATAAAACTACCACCTGGATCCAATGGGTGTTTCTCTTACTGTTTAGGACCCCTCTAGACTGCTATGTTTTCTCTTGTTTCATATGGTATATTTTGCAACATGTCAGGGGCATAACTGGTAGTGGATTTATACTGGGCCATCCATCCATCCTTGCACTTTATTAGTTGTTTTGTGATGCTTCCCCAGTGCCATCACATTGTTGTCATTTGGAAGGGCACTCTTGTACAACAAAAGTGGGGCACCCCCCTCCCCAAACTTGGAACATTTGTGGTATGAAAAGCTACAGGATTTCAGCAGGAAGTTATGAGACATGCACTTGTTGGAAATGAAACATTATGTCCACCTCAAAACTTTTTCAGGCATTAACAGAATTGAGGACAGGACCAGGTGTAACTGCTCCAAAACTACCATGAACCCATCATCATAAATGTACAGTTGTACCTGGGCTCCCAAACTCCTTGGGGGTCGAGCGTTCCAGCTCCCGTGAAAATTGGAAGTGATTGTTCCAGTTTTCAAATGTTCTTTTGGAAGCCGAATGTCCGATGGGGCTTCAGCAGCTTCTGATTGGCTGTAAGAGCTTCCTGCAGCCAATCAGAAGCCGTGCTTTGGAAGTCGAACGTTTCGGAAGTCGAACAGACTTCTGGAACGGATTTTGTTTGACTTCTGAGGTACGACTGTATAGTAAAAAAGGATGTCCGGAGGGGCCCTCAGTGTGAAAGGCATTCCGACATTAAAAATAAATAAATAAACATCCTTTGTTGTCAGTCATCTGTTTGTGGTATCTCAAGGATCCATTTGCAAACTAGGTCCCCTCCTGGAAGTGCCCTGAATGAAAACAGTAACACCAAGCATTCACAATCTACCAGGACACAGCACCACCACAAACAAGGCCCACAGATTTGTTATTTTATTTTATTGCATTTATATCCTGCTCTTTCTCCAATAACTTCAAGGTGGTATACATGGTTTGCCCTCTGCTCATGGTAAAAGCTCACCTCAGCTGAGCTTTGAAATCTCAGAATCATTTTCCTGTTCAGATTTGTTAAAAATCATAGCAGCCCTTGGGTCAGGACGGGGGTCGGGGTCAGGTGAGTAATAACTCATGAGATGTCAGGGAAGTTAACCCTTCATTCAAAGAAACAAAAACCAGCTCAGCCTGAGTGAACATGGCCACTCTTACCAGTAGATCTTGCCCCATTGAGGCAGTTCCTTGCTTTCCCCCAGTTTCCTAAGTCTTCTCCTCCCCAGCAACCTGAGGCTCCTACATCTTGTCTCCCTTTCTTCCACCCTATTCATTCCTCTTCATCTTCTGGGAGACCAGGAGGGTGAGGAGCTGGCCATACAGGAGGGGAAGACTCCCTGGCTTCCTCAGCAGCCTGCCGGATCTCTTTCTCTTGGCACCCTCCTCTCCAATCTCCATTCCTGCCTCTGACTGCTCTCTGCTACAGCTTCTCCCTGCTCACTAAACCCTGTTACCTCTTCAGCTTCAACACATCTTCTTCCCAGTCTGCTCCCTCTGACCGCTCATTGCAGTCCCACAACCAATCCACTGGCTCTGTGCCTTCCTCCTCTGGGGTTTCCTTTGGGGGTTCCCCAGCTAGTGCCTCCCACCACTCCTCTGTGTCTAGCTAGTCCATGAAACCTTGGGAGAACTACATCTCCCACAGTCCACTGTTACCCACAGGGCTGGCCCACCCGTGAGGCAAAGTGGCTGGATCCACAGGGGTAGCTGATCCTGATGTCAATCTTTCTTTCCCTTGTTCCTGATGTAGATTTTCCCTCACCCTTTCTTCCATGGCTGGAAGGGAGGCAACATTTTGGAGTCTGCCTCAGGTGCTAAAATGTATTGGACCAGCCCTGGGCAGGGCAATGGAGGTGGGAAAAAACACCCTTCTTCTCCTTTTGCCATGTGTACTTTTAGAGAGTATAGTGGTACCTCGGGTTACATACGCTTCAGGTTACATCCGCTTCAGGTTACAGACTCTGCTAACCCAGAAATATTACCTCAGGTTAAGAACTTTGCTTCAGGATGAGAAGAGAAATCGTGCGGCGGCAGCAGGAGGCCCCATTAGCTAAAGTGGTGCTTCAGGTTAAGAACAGTTTCACGTTAAGTACAGACCTCCGGAACGAATTAAGTACTTAACTTGAGGTACCACTGTATACTTTAGAGCTTGGGTTGAGTTAAACAGCTTTAGGGATGTGACAGAGCCAGGGGGGTATTCCCCCCCGACTCCTCAGATTGGCTAAAAAGAGAGAGACATGAGTTCTGTGTTTTTTCAGTAAGAACTTGTATCATTTCCAAGTTGTTCTGGTGTGTGGCCTGCGCACTAGTACCTGCTGAATTTCAAATGGTCACTCTAGCTTTATAAGTCTGGCAATCTATAAATGTCTGCCATCCACCCAGGGAGCTATGGATTTAGCAATCCTTCACCAGCCTCCCTAACTTCAGGCTTGGAGCTCTTTCCATTTTTTAAGACAACCCGCTAAGTGAGAATGGCTTAAAAAACAACAACAAAACTATTGCAAATGGATTTTTATAAAGCATTGTTTGCTTATAAGGCGAGAGTCTTTGTCGCTGCTTGCAACCGTAAACTCAACACTGATATGCCTTTGCAAACCATTTACTAATTGCACCTCACTTCTGCCAAAAACATGTCCACAGTTACTTTGGAAAACTGGGAATGTTTGCACATGGGAGGGGGTGGAGAGAAAGGAAAAGGAGCCTGAAGAATAGTAGCTTGTAAAATGCTTTAGTTGTTTTTTTTTAATGTAAAATTTGTGGGCTGAGTCATGTGGAAGATGTTGTTTTGAAACCATGATTAAGAGAGAATGGCTGTAAAGCCATCAATTTGTACATTAAAGAGGGCTATTGTACCTACATGCAAGGATAATAGAAAGTACTAGTATTCGTATGTGTAAATACAGCAGTTTTCCAGACTTCCTTATAAGACATGGAAGAGAAAAGGAAAAGACTAGAGTTATAAATTTAAGACAGTGAAACTCTCTTATTGAAAAATGTGTTTTTAATCTTTTGGAAAAAAGTATCCCCATACTCATGTTCAAGGTGTAGCATGTGGTACACGCCAAGTCAATTTCCAGATAATTTTTATTAGGGATTCATCAGTAGGGAAGTAGCTCAGGCTTCACTTGGCAATCTCAAGTCCTTTTGATGTGGCTTCCGCTTCCATTTTCGCATACATTG